CTGCTGAAGTGTGTTGAAATTTCTTCTTCTGCATTCTACTGTACGGACGTAAATTTACTTTGCCTTCAGCCTGAGGCTTATTCATTTCACTTTTGGTGTGAAAAGGCTTTTATATTTGCCAAAAATATAACTTTTTTATTTTAAAAACAAACAAGCAAGCTCTGTCCAGATTTAAAAAATAACGCAAAAGTAACGTAACGCATTACTTTCCATAAAAAGTAACTAAGTAATGTAATTAGTTACTTTTTTTATGGAGTAATGCAATATTGTAATGCATTACTTTTAAAAGTAACTTTCCCCAACACTGAAGATAAATAAAGTGGAAAGTTTGTCCAAACAGCCGATGAAATTACAATAATCATAACTTAATACTTTTTAAGTTATATTTTTGGCCTTTTTGTGCCTTCATTGGATAAGACAGTACAGATCAAACAGGAAAACATGGGGCAGAGAGACGGAAACAGGATCAGCAAAGGACCTCAAGATGGGAATTGAATTCGGGTCACCAGCTAAAATAGTGAAAAAGTTGTCTCATCTGAATCAGTAGACAAATATGCACAGATCAAGCACTGTTTATAAGCAAAAACAGATCTAATCAAATATGTTTGTTGATTTTGATGTGAGAGGACAAGAGCAGCTCAGCTTTTTTCACTGGAGGATGAATTATTATGGATTACATACTGGTATCTTGACCAGAAGCGTCGGTTTAAAGTTAAAATGCCTTAATAATGGTTTTGTTTCTTACAAACATGCAGATGTTCATTTTACAAGATGTTAATTGATGAACTGAAGTTGTGTGGGTTACTTCTGGATTATTGGGATGTTTTTATCAGCTGTTTGGACTCTCATTCTGCCGGCATCCATTCACTGCAGAGGATCCATTGGTGAGCAAGCGATGTAATGTTACATTTCACCAAATCTGTTCCAATGAAGATTGGATTCCCTGAGGGTGACTACATTTTCAGCAAATTTGCATTTTTTAGGTTTACTATTTTTTATAAAATTTCAGAGAAATAGCTCACTTCTGTTTTGCAGAATAAGCTGGAAAGCTATATCAAACTGTATCTGATTCTGGGCAAGAATTGCAGTTTTGTGCAGTTACAGTTTGGGAATGTGGACATTGTGGTCTAAGGCTAAGATTATACATGTTCCAAGCATGCTAAAACCATCTCATGGAATCTGCATCTCTAAATTCATCAACTTCAAAGCAACACTGTTAAAACTATGAAAAATGTACATACTGTAAAGAGACTATAATATATCATTAGCTAACTAGTTTTGGATGACCAGCTAACAATCTAAATACTTCCCTAAACAGCAGCCACGTAGCTGCTTTTCAAAGTACTGAATTTTGTAAGTATTTTAGAGGAGTGCACTTGAATGGAAATAAAATAATAGGTTAAATGGTGAGAAATCACAGCTATTCTCTGTAAAGGGGGTTTGTGTGAACTGTAATTACATCAGCCAGCGGGGGAATATTTCAAAA